GTCCCTGGAGGATTTCTGCTCCATCCCCATACATGTTAACAGACTTTTCCAGTAGCTGTACTGGCCGCGATTGCCAGGGCAAATTAATCATTAAACACGCTTGCTTTTAAACCGTGTGTAATATTTACAAAGGTACACTCACCAGAGGTCCCTTGTATGCCCTCAGGGTCTGGGAGCATGCCTTGGGTGAGTTCGGGGGTTACTGGTTCCAGGTCCAGGGTGATAAACATATCCTGGCTGTTGGGGAAACCGGTTTTTCCGCTTCCTTGCTGTGAGCTATCTTCATTGTCTTCATCATCTTCCGCGTACCCCGAACCCGCTTCCCTGTTGCGTGATTCTCCATTGATGGAGTCAAAGCACACGATTGGGGTAGTAGTGACTGCACCCCCTAGAATGGCATGCAGCTCCGTGTAGAAGCGGCATGTTTGCAGCTCTGCCCCAGACCTTCTGTTTGCCTCTCTGGCTTTGTGGTAGGCTTGCCTTTGCTCCTTAATTTTCACGCGGCACTGCTGTGCGTCCCTGTTATGGCCTCTGTCCTTCTTGGGCTTTGAGACTTTTTTTAATATTTTACCATTTTGTTTACTGCTACGGAGTTCAGCTAGCACTGATTCGTCTCCCCATATGACGAGCAGATCCCGTACCTCCCGTTCGGTCCATGCTGGAGTTCTTTTGCGATCCTGGGACTCCATCATGGTTACCTGTGCTGATGAGCTCTGCGTGGTCACCTGTGCTCTCCACGCTGGTCAAACAGGAAATGAAATTCAAAAGTTCGCGGGGCTTTTCCTGTCTACCTGGTCAGTGCATCTGAGTTGAGAGCACTGTCCAGAGCAGTCACAATGAAGCACTGTGGGATAGCTCCCGGAGGCCAATAACGTCCAATTCCGTCCACACTACCCCAAATCCGACCCGCAAAGGCCGATTTTAGCACTAATCCCCTCGTCGGAAGTGGAGTAAAGAAACCGGTTTAAAGGGCCCTTTAAGTCGAAAAAAGGGCTTTGTCATGTGGACGTGTCCAGGCTTAATTCGATTTAATGCTGCTAAAGTCGACCTAAACTCTTAGTGTGGACCAGGCCTAAGTCACCCCTAAAAATGTTTGTAGCTGTAAACCTCTGTTTCTAATCCTTTGTGTGTAATTTTTCTAAACCATAAAGTTGTAAAAATGTCACAATTCTCAGATTTATAGATAGTGTTAAGTCTGTTTGTTTTAAATAAGGAAAACAATATTTGTAATTTATGAACAATAATAAAAAAGTCTCTCTTTAGATTAACTGAAAGATGTTTTGTGTTTGGTTTTCAGAGCCTTTTTCTCAGTTCTATATGGTGTTAGAAGTGTTGGGCAGTCCACTTCTTTGGCACCAGATTTTGGCAAAGCTAAAGTTTCTTCCCAACGAATCTTTCAGCTTTTGGATCGGAAACCCTTAATTGACAGCTATAGTGAAGAGGGTACAAAACTGGTAAGGCCATTCAGAAAGTCCTTGAAACTAACAAACCTGGTGGTTCTGTATTGTCCTTAATTGTATTAATCTTGTTAAATTGCTTTTTGCAATGTCACAGAAGACAGGACCAGACAGGTAGGGTAAAATTTAAAAGCAATAACTTAATAATTTTATATTTGCCCTCTGGCATTTAATGCTTTTTTGCTTGAGAAATTAACAGAATACTTTTAAGTGCGGTTCTGTTTTGAAAAATGACTGGAAGAATGACATTTCATTCACCTGTTCTGTCCGTTGGGTGTATTCTGAGGCCTTGTCTACACTACCGGGGTAAGTCGACCTAAGTTACACTACTCCAGCTATGTGAATAATCATTAATGTAATTGATGTAGCTGAGGTCGACTTACCGCGGTGTCTTCATTGTGCTGCATTGATTGGAGATGCTCTCCCATCGACTTACCTTACTCTTCTCGTTCCGGTGGAGTATCAGACTCGATCAGAGAGCACTCTGCTATCGACACCGCTAAATCAATTGCAGCAGTGTCCATCTCCCTGGTAGTGAAGACAAGCCCAGAGTTATAACTGCTTTCTTTAGTAATACAAGTATGTTTTCGCTGCTTTTTAGGCCTGTAAACTATGCAACTGTGGGGGAGAGTGAGCTAGAGTCTATTCCTTCTTGTGCATTATCATCAGGCTTATTTGCTAAGTTCCAGTCGGTTACATCTGTGTAAAGAGAGTCAAGGTGGGTGAGGTAATATCTTTCATTGAACCCAATTCTGTTGGTGAGAGAGACAAGCTGTCGAGCTTACACAGAGCTCTTCTTCAGTTCTGTATAAGCTCAAAAGCTTGTCTCTCTCTCACCAACAGAAGTTGGTCCAATAAAAGATATTACTTCACCCACGTTGACTCTCTAATATCCTGGGACAGACACGACTATAACAACACTGCATACAACATTTGAGTAACCTCACTCAAGTCAAAGGGGTTGCACAAGTATTAATGAGGACGTAACTTGGCCTGCAGAACCTTTTCTTCCTGGTGATTATACGTGAGATGGAAAGAACCCAGCTTGTCTCTCAAAGTCCAGTGTTGACAGTTAGAAACTCATCTTTGTATTTGTAAACTGAACACATTTCATATTGTCTCTCAGTGCTTTTCATAAATGCTTTTACAAGCTGAACCAGCCTTTCAGAAACTTGAAATTGCTTTAGAATTCTACCTTTTGGATAGTGGCCTCGATTCAGAAAAGGACTCAGGCACATACTGTAAGCATGCCAGTAATTCATGTGCACAACTTTAAGTCACACATGTGCTTGACCACTTTCCTGAATCAGCTCCACATGCCCAGACTATTAATGCTCCAGGGGAAATATCTTCTTGCAGATAAAGATGTTAATTGAAAGTGAAACCACTCTGGGCCAAATCCTGATGCCAGTGAAGCAGCTGCCTTTGACTTCAATGAAGCTAAGATTTGGCCCAAAGAGTTTGAACCTTGAAAGTCCAGTTCTCTAGGTGCTGTAAGAGCCCATTGTACTCGCAGTGCTGGTATTGTGGTCCTAGAGCTGTCCCATCCCCCAGGCATCAGAGGAGGCTTCCACAGTCTCTCCTAACATCTCCTTCACTCACCCTTGTCTTCAAGTCTTCTTCCTTGCTAACTCTTATACTCCAAGCTCCCTTCCTACACAAAAGAGCCAATGAGCTACCCTTTTCTTATTCAAACCTACACTTAAAACATAGTTGCCCTTGAAAACTATGAATAATCCACCAAAGTAAAAATGTTTAACCCAATCTGAGATCTGATGTTCGCCTTGTATTATGTTCATCCTGCGTACTATGTGTTTAAATGACACTATTTAGAGAGTGAACTCCCAGGGGCAGGAACTATGTTTTCCTCACACAGTGATAGTGTCTGGATTATATGCAATGATAACATAAGAGAGGTATTAGGGTTGTTTACTTACCTAAAGTAATGATAGTCCTTGTGAACAAGGCTGAAAAGGAATGATATAAATGAGAGAGAGATGCAGAAAAGAACCACTCAAGAAGGAGGTCCCGTACACAGAAGATACCAATCCAATCGCACTGCATATTTAAGCAATAATAAACTGACTTGTCACGCCTTCATTTAAATGACCATAATGAGTTGTGTTTGATGCTTCAGTACAAGATAGACAGGTCTTCTGTCATATATATGTATTTTCTACCGTTTCCAGAGTCAGTTTGATGGCAACATTGAATTCAGGGACATCCATTTTGTATACCCTACAAGACCAGAAGCTCAGGTTTTGCAAGGACTCAGCGTGAAGGTTAATAAAGGACAGACGCTAGCCTTGGTGGGGAGCAGTGGTTGTGGCAAAAGCACATCCATTCAGCTGCTGGAGAGATTTTATGATCCTATGGCAGGACAAGTGGTAAGAAAAGATTTGTGAAGCTGTTAGCGCTAAGAGCTTATAGAACTGTTCTTCAAAGTATTTTACAAACATATCATCATCCGCAAAACACCCCTTTGAGGTGGATAAGTGTTGTTACAGGTCTGGGTACTGCAGAGAAGACTTGGGACTTCCTTAAGGTAGAGCCGGGAGTAGAACTTTGGATCTTCTGACTCCCCATCCTGGCTTTAGATCACTGGATTGCATCTTTTGGTTGATTTACTTGATGTATTGGAGGGGGCATTAGAATATATTTCCCATAATGTAACCCTTGCCACTAGTCCTGTAGTCATGTTAACATGACACAGTTTGATGTCTAATTCATCACTTGATGAGACTTTTGATGCAAGTCCTATTAATGATGATGGGCGCTCCAAGAAGAATAGCCTAGAAAT